AGCTGATGCTCGACTGCGGAGCTGCAAAACAATTTAAGTAAAAAAAAAAAAGAAAATGAAAAAGAAGTTGCTTGTTTCAACGTTTCCTCAGGCTGTGTTATGCAAAACAAGCCTCTGAACCCTGTCAATACTGCCCTCTGTTTTAAACTGAAGAATTTGAGTTTGCCCAGTGTTGTCAATCCTCAGCACACACTTAAAATTTGCTCCTGTGTCAAAAACAACAAATACACACAAAAAAAGAAACAATACAAAGCTGCATAATTTCACAAAAAGACAAGGGCACAAAAGGCAGTGTTGAGCAACACAGCCAAAATGGCACTTGTGGACATTTGTGCAGCATTTTTAACCAACGGAGCAGCTTCGTTATTTCTGAAGGTTTGTTTCCAGGAGCCACAGCTCTCCCGAGGATCACATCAGTGTCAAGTCATCATGTGTGACAGCAGAACTGCTGCTGCTGAAAACAGCAAAGCACACTTCTAGTAAACACACCGAAATGGCAAGGCACCCTGCGGTTTGAGCTGAAAAATTTAGCACCTTCCGACAACCAAGTTCGACCACATCAATTATCAATTACATTTAATGAAGGCGGAGAAATTGAATTAAAACAGAGTCATGGTTGACCAGAGGATACGAAGAGATATTGTTCTTGGCAACCGCAATCTATTCATTCATCATTGACGTAAAGGTAATAGGACTTCAGAGCTGTGCTAATGACCAACGACAGCCTCTCTGTAAAATAGATGAAAGGTGTGCCATTATGGGGTGGACTCATGAGAGAAGAGGCCATGCGGCTAATGACTCATTAGAGACATCTATAGCCAGACAGGCTGAGAGCCAAAAGGCCAGGAGTCCTTTTTAAAGACTCAATACCCCAGCTGACACTAATTGTAGCAGTCAGGATAGCATGGATTTTCATTGCAGATAATAGCAGTCTGCTCCCCTGACACATCTTGGCCTGTTACCCACAACACTGGTGCTGCCCAGGTCTGCTAACACCGCTAGTTGGTGCACACTATAAAACAGCAAGTGCTTGTTATGACGGCTTTAAATTCAATACCATAAGGGCCAACCAAGAGTGAGATGCAGCGGTGAGGCTARCCTCAAAAGAAATACCAGAGAGAGTAATTTCCAACACTCGTGTTGCATCATTCAGCTCCTGCAAGCACCTGCAGTGTTGAGCAGACACATCTCTCATTTGGACAGAGGCAATGCGGGATGTTATATGGTCTAGTCATACACCCTGTCACTGTGCTAATGTGATTCAGTTCCAAAACAGTCAGAGGAAATGAGAAAAGCTGCTCTTTTCCACCCTTGCCAGGCTTAGACATGATACACACGGGGCTTTACACTGCTAGCAAGAGAGAAAARATTACAAAAATCTTTCATGATGCATTGACATAAGGGGAAGAGAGACACTAAGCGCCAACTGCAGCAGCAGGGTGATATTCTTGATGGTAGATGTAAATGTTAAGAGTGGAAACTGTGGAGGAAGGATTGGTGGCAGTTCATTAGACTTCAAAACAGAAAATGATCGACAGTGACTCTCTCCGAGGAACAAGAATTGGAGTACTGTATTTCACTGACTGTTCAACRTGTTGGTGGTCACAAAACTAACCAGACAGCATTCAAAGAAAACCGTGTAGTTTTTTTTTAAGGTCTAAGAAGAAGGCTTGGCAGAAAGCATTGGCCCTATCAGGAAAGTTACCTGTTGAATAACTTTTCAAAATGGAAGTAAAGAGTTTCAGAACAGCAGCAGCTGGGACTGTGCAGCAACGTATGTTAGTCTACTCATTTCTAACAGCGTTTCCATTAACCTCCCAAGCAGAGAGTCAGGCCTGTAGGCTATTTGAAATAAGCTTCTATGAAGAACAAATACTTTCTAATTCCTCCTATTTTGTAAGGATGCTTCTTCATATCTAGAAAAAATAACGTTTTGGGTCTTTTTTTTTTTTGATTTCCTGTTTCTTCTTGATTGAAAGTCACCAAGCCATWATATTATGGATTCCCTAATATGTTGCTCTTTACTGATAAAGCTTTTTTTTTTCAATACGTTACAAAACTATATAAAAATATAGCAATATTCAATTTTTTTCTCGCATTTTGTGCATTTATATTTAGCCTTTATTCAGTCAGACTTTCTGTCAGTGTTTTTCARGGATTAATAAAATTAAATCCAGTGAGGTTCTGTAAGCCACCCTACTAACTGATTATTTCCGCAAACAGCTGTGTTAATAAAGAGAATAAACACTCTCTTCAGCTATGCTGTTATATTGGCTAATTATTTCCAGATGCTTCCATTTTACAGCTTTATTAAATTATCACAGTGAAATATGCTCTTTCTGCTAAGAATTACACTGTGTCCAAACTTTAGACACACCTGCATGCATGAATAGGTGTGTCAAAACTATAAACCCATTGTGTACTCTATTTTCTCCCTTTTTGTTCCTATTAGTATAAAATTAGACACCCACAGTCTTTGGTGGAACTTTTTTAGCTCCAACTGCTTTTGAAAGTGTTTTATTTAATCTAAGGTTAATGGTGAAGATTAAATATTTAGAAAATGTTTCTATTAGTTTTTATAACACTGAAAAATTGACATAAATGGTTATCTGGCTGTGTTAAATCCATTCATTAGGTTCTCATCTTTTTTTTTTTCAAAAATAGATACATTCACTAAAACAAAATAAAATCTATGTACTATGAAAAGCAAAACACAAGTCACAAATGAAATGAAAGGAAGCAGAATGAAAAAAAATTCATCTGACATAATAATTATATTATTATGACACTTATGTACAAGGCTGCATTGACATATCTGTGTAGGCAAGGTTTTAATTTGAGATAATATAGAGATTATTATTAATTTTGAACAGATGGAATTGTAAATGAAAAAAACATCTTAGAAATGAAACTTATTGCTGTTCTAATTGAATTAGTTCTGTGCAGATGGGCACAGTGCTAAATTTAGCCAATACAATAAAGAAACTGTAACCTTTTGTTCTGGCTTTCATATGAAACTTTATCCATTTCTGAATGTTTGAATCTTCTTGGAAAATGAAAACCACCTGTTAGGAATGCGCAATATAAACGATATACGGTAGAAATTATATCARTTTGTCCTATGATACAGATCTGTAGTCTACCGGCCAACCRCGCAATTCTTTTTGATGACGTAACCGGCTGGAGTCAAAACAGAGGAAGCGGGAAGCAGTGTGGCTGAGAGCGCAAATGAAGAGGGGAAAAAAAACTTATCCGGACCTGGTTCAGGTGTGCGAAACTGAACGCCGAACTGTTTACATATTTACGTGACGGTGCGTCCTCCGGTCGGATGGCCACCGACCGCACTGCCTGCTGCGGGAGGAGCGCGCACCGCGGCATGTGTGAAGGGCTCGACACACGGGAGGCGACGTCGCTCGCCCTCCATTCATTTCCACGCAGCGAGGCGACTGTCAGTGCAGGTGAAGTCAGTGCTCAGGTGGGACGCACAAAAATCAGCCTGGACCTCGTTTCTCCTGCGGTGATAGCGCGACGACGCATGGCCGAATGCGCGCGCACTCTAAAGTGCGACTGTAATGATTGTCACCCCGCCGGAGCGCGCACTGATTAAACAGGTGGAGAGCAGAAAAAATAATCTGCAAGTTTCTAAAAACAACACCCAATGGATGCAGATATCTACTGCATTAAAGTTATTGTGTGTGTGTGTGTGTGTGTGTGTGTGTGTGATTTAACCAGGTAGATCTCCCTTAAATTTAGATTTTTATGGGAGACTTTAAAGTGTCCCTTAAAAAAAAGGAGATTTTAAGGTCTAAATTTTTTTTACCTGTATATATTCATTCCACTCAATTAATGTGTGATTTATTTATTTTCTATCATAAGTTTTATATTGTGATATATATCGTTACCACCACTCGTCATAATCTATATCATGATATGAATTTTTTGCCAAATCGCACATTCCTACCACCTGTATATAAAGCAGAATCCTCACATATTTGACTTCGACATTGAAAACATTTGGTTTTAGTGTGCCAACTTTGATCAGTTACATAAAATGAAATGAAATGAAATTAAATGAAATGAAATGAAATGAAATTTATTCGAACATGATACAATATAAAAATAAAATAGTGCACAGTAACAAGAAGTGCATAAAAAAGAAAAAAAGAAGAAAAAAAAGAAGAAAAAAAATACAGATTTTTGTTTCAGTTAACATATCATGCTCAAAATGGGGTAGGAAGAAGTAAGAACCTATGAACTCCTACCCCAAAAACAATCAAAATATATGCTGTCTCCTGGCTATAATGTCAGTATTTTGAATTAACATTACCTAAATGATGCAAAACTAAAACATGTTTAGTTTGATCCTAAAAGTACTGTTGTAAGTGATAGTATCTGCATTGAAGTTGACCTTTGGCTTTTGGCATACCATAATTTAGCTCAATAACRAAAGTGTTATAGCGTTTTTGTGTTTGCTAAGATTAATCAACCATCTTGAATTAGATTGATGTCAAAGGTTAATTTGCAGATGTACATCCAATGATTGCTTTCTTACAATTTCAATAAGTTCAATTTAGGTCGAACCAGTGTGGTTCATTAGATTTTCCATTCTATTTTTAGAATTCTTAGAATTATATACAGGCTCAATAAAAGACCAGAAAAAAAACTTTTTATGTGACTTTTATGCATTTTAAATAGACGCATTTGCATTTCCAATCGATTCTGCCCCTGTATAGACTTGTGCTTTTAACACTAAAGCATTACAAGCTTTGTAATCATGAAATTGGGTGAACTTTTTGTTTTGTTTTGCATTGTTTAAAGGCCTTTCAAATATGAGTTACAGCCACCTCAGTTAACCATCTCCGGGAGAGGAAACAAATCCATAACTACTGGCTTTAAAAGGCCACAGGACCAACAAACCTTTTAAAAGACCAAAAGAGGTGTAAACTGTGATACAAAGGTCAATCTAATATGGACTTCCTTAACGATTGTTTGGCTCTTTGACTAATTCCCAGAGGCAAAGAGAAAGACAGGAGGCAGGGGAGCGAATGAGGAGAGATCTACTCAGCAAGTCTGCTTCTCTCATGTCTGTCGAGAATATGCCACCGAGATCACGRGTAATTCAACCAAGGTGAGATTCTCTCCCACCTGCAAAGTGCTCTTCAACTAACCTTAAAATGACTCTTAAAGCTAATGTTCACAATTTTCATAAATATTTAAAGATCTACCACTGTAATGATAAAGGGGGTGAGGCAAGTCCAGCCTCATGCCTGCYATTACGAGGCTAATCTAACCTCCCCATGAGGATTTCTAGATTTAATTTAGGCATTTGGGGATGATGCTTGGCGGCGACAGGGTCCATCCATCTTCTCTTAACAGCCCTAATCTTTATAGAGGCTCCAGACTTCAGGTAGTGCATGTGATGGATAGCACCTCTGGCTGAGGACAGTCCATTAGTAGGAAGAGAATACCACAAAGCCAGAGCCCAGTTACACTGTCTTAAGTGCAATTCAGAGGTAGCGGCAGCTCTCTATACTGMATCACAGAAGAGAGAAAAAAGCAATGTTTTGGTGCCTATGTCCACCCTAAATTACTGTCCAGGAGTCCTTCTAGTTTTAGATCAGTGAACTCCAACCTGGCAGAAAGTTGAACTTTGGTTGCTACAGGTTGCTACAGAAGTAAAGTAACTCCTCTCAACATGAAAGTATTATTCTGAGACMGATTTAGAAGCAACTAGTGGTGGCTCTAAAGCATGCATTTTTGAAGCTTCAATCAAAAAGAAAGACAAGAAAAAAAGGATCTAAGATGCGTTCTTACATGTGGCCCCAAAACAGCAAAACAAACCTTTCAGCTCAGAGTGACTGAACTCTTGATACAGTCGATTGATTGACGTTGTGTGACAGCCCAGACGCTGTTTGATATCACTTCCAGTTAAAGTGTTTCATGAAGGCTGACAGAAAGAAGCGCTAGATTTTTGATTTCAAAAGGATGTGTAGGTGTTGCAAAAGAAGAAAGAAACGTTGCCCGGAGGCCCCAAACCTTGAATTTTTATGATATACGCTATTTTTGTCCTGCTTTAAAGGGCGCATATTAGAACAGATAAATAACCTTTTCTGTGCTTGAGAGTAAATGTTTAGATTGTTGAAGACAATATACTAACTCAAAACTTTACAAATAAATAATAATGATATTAAAAAAATAAGAAGAAAATCATTGTGATAAAGTGTTAGTGATTATTCAACCCATTCTCACTCCCAAGTCATCACATATTGACGCGTTGGCAAGGTTCCCTCTACGTCCAATTTTGAYGCGCAGGGTACCCCCGTCACGTCAGTTACTGACGAGATGGGGCGAAGTCTGTTGTCATATTTTCAGAAAGTGTATAAAATGTGCAAAAACGACCGTTCCAAAGCCTGAAATTGCCTTTGTTCACTTTAGACATCCTGTCCCTGACCGTAGTACCTAAAATTAACCATTTTTAGAAAATGTACGGAATTCACGTCAACATGTTCTAAAGCGTAAAATGACCAAATATTCACCATGGACATCCTACCCCTGATCCCAGTACCTAAATTTAACCATTAATCCTGATCCCTCATGTTAACCTCAGACCCCCGACCCAAAGACCCCTGGTGGCGAAACCCRGAAAATCCGCGGGCGTCAAGGASTGACGCGAGGGGGGTACCCTGCGCGTCAAAATAAGACGCAGAGGGAACCTTTGGAAAAGCGTCAATATGTGACGACTTGGGAGTGAGAATGTGTAGSATTATTTTAGTGTTCGGTGGAGTATATGGTGATAAATGCATGAAGGGAAATAGTACAACACAAAAATCACAAATTTTTAAGCAACTGGCTTTAAAATTACCAGACAGATGATTTGCAATTCAGCACTTTAGAAACTGATATTGTTGTGCTTTATTTTCTTTTTCACTTTTAGCACTTGAGAAACCAAATCTTAAAAACAGAAATACACACAAGTCATGTTGCTACCATGGCGCAACACAATGATGGTAAAATTACATTTAAAGCCTAAATATATCCCCCTCACCTTTGAGGTGATAGATTTTGTGTGAGGATTCCAGTTTCTTGTCTCTCCTGCCACCGACCACACCCTCTATTAAAGATCAACAGGTGCTCTCTGTCACCACCGGCTGGGRCCTCCACCTCCTTGTTTACAACTATGACAGCTGTGATTGGGTTAAACTCTTATCAGTCAACGTGTGCACGCTAAATAGCAGTCGCAGTAGAAATTCTGATAAAGAAATGACTCTACAACAGGAACACAGAGGAGTGAATTCTGGCCATCAAAACAACTTAAACTTCAAAAATGACACAAAAATGTTAAAGTGGTTCAGCGAAGCATACGCTGTGGATTTATTTTTTTTTACACCATGTCACTTTTGCATCTGACAGTGTCTGTGTTGCTACGCGTCATTGCATGCATTGTGACTGCACAGCTGATCAACTGAATCTGCCAGGTGTTGTCTGACTTGTTGGAATCAGTTTAGCAAGAATACAAAAATAAAAGACAATATGGTATGTGTATTTTCACTCACTTTTATTTTCTCAAAGTTGGTATTCTGTATAAGTAAGGAAAAACCTAAGTTAAAAAGTTGCTTTAGATTCGAGCCGGTCTGAGCTCAGTTTTTCAGGTTGAAGACACGGGGGGCATCTTTGAATAAATACTRAGTGTAGAGTTGTAAAGTAACTAAGTMCAAATACTTTGTTACTGTACTTAAGTGGAAATTTTGGTTATCTATACTTTACTTGAGTAATTATTTTTCAATGTACTTTTTACTTTTACTTGTTACATTTTTACACAATTATCTGTACTTTCTACTCACTACATTTTTTTAAAAAGGTAAGAAGTAGAAAGTCGTTACTCCTATTTTATAGCAAGTTGTTATTAGATGAAAAAATACTATCCTGATAAACTGTGTCTCCTGGATAGAGTGAATTTAATGTGGTTGGATGAGAAGTATAAATATATACTATTTTGACACCCTATTAGCTTGTACACAACACATCAGAGCTGCACGCCGTTAGAAAAAATACTTTTTGGAGGTCACCTCCCACTAAATGTCATTTTGCAAAATCTAACTGCTCACTTTTATTCAGTACTTTTACTTTTAATACTTAAGTAGATTTTGTGTCAGAAATTTACTTTTGAGACTTAAGTACAAAAAATATCAGATACTTTAAGGCTTTTACGCAAGTAATGTTTATAGAGAAGACTTTAACTTTTACCAAAGTAATTTTATGATAAGATACTTGTACTTTTACTCAAGTTTCACTTTGGGGTACTTTATACAACACTGACTGAGTGTAATCTGTGCCCATGCAACTATCCTAAAAGAAGCAAAAGAAAGTGAAGAATCAGGAACGTTTTATTTTGGCCTTTAAAAGAGAATGCATGAAAATGTGYCGAAGTCTCCCAATCCTTTGATGTTCATTCAAAATGTCACATTTCATAAAATCACAATAAGTTGTAATAAAAAGTACACATTGTGTCTACTTAACAAAAAAATAAACAGTATTGGATCATTGTTCATCTTTAAACACATTTTTTATCAATGCTAATTTATGTATAAGAATAATAGTGACCTTGAAGGGTGTTGGGTAATGTTTCAGAAAAAAGGAGAATAAACTAAAAAAAGCAAACTTTGCTAATTAATCAGTCCAAGAGAAGATGATGCGATGCACCCCCCACCCCACCCCATGATATCCAATTAGGAGTTGTGTTTATCAGTGAAGCTCTGCAGTGGAGCTTTTTACAGGTACCTACTACTGCTGCTGCCGTGACTTTTATCTGCGCTGACAGCAGGACGCCGTTTCAAAACAAAAATACRGGTAACATATAAACTAAAAGGAGAGGAAAGTGTCTCATGCGTATTTGCAAAGACTTGTTTGTCAAATCATTTTTGAGCAGGCACAAAAAAAAAAAACCACTGTTTATCACACATTCATTTTGTGTTATAGCAAGCTTCGGTGCATTTTCACTGAGTAAATAAAGGGAAGATAAAATGCAGTAATCCATCACAAATCATCTCAGGCCTCCCGTCATCGCTCTCAGCATGGTAGCCTGCCTTGGCTTTAATTAAGTTATTCTGGAACTGCAGAAATAAAAAATAAAAAGAAATAGATGGAAAAGAGAGAAGTGTGTGAAGTGTGTGGAGTTTCTATGGAGACCTGAAGCATCTGGCTTGATCCCAATAATTTGTTTTCTGCTGTCTTCATCTCTGTTTTTTTTTTTTTTCTCAAACAAGTTTCTGCACAAGAACTCTCTTCCCTAATGCGCACGTTCCCACAGTGGCTCACAACTTGTAACTTTGGTGATAATCACTGTCAGTCTTAAAACAGCACAAATCAGCATCCCACACAATATTCTTTTATCTAAAACCAAAATTTGTGTGTGTTTTTCTTAAACTAAAAAAGTTCTACTTGAAATGCTAGTAGAAAGATCCAATGCTTCCCTTTAACTTCATACAAACTGATTGAAGGTGTGACTTTGGGGTCTCGATGCGTTTCTGCAGAAAAAAAAATTATATATTATTTAAAGTTTCCTAAAGTACTTGATCTCTAAATTGAAGTTGCATGTCTTTCAGAAAATTCCTTATCTGTAAAAGAGCTGTGACTTTCAGACGGTGACAGAGGGAAGGATGTGACTTCTAAATGCCTTCATGCTGACTATTGATAAGGTCAGAAACTAAATATTTAAAGAGCACATAACATGCTTTTGGGCTTTTTCCTCTTTTCTTCTTCATGTAGTTTGGCTTTTTGCACCCAGTGTCTATAAAGTTACAAAGTGAATCTGAGAGTTAACCTGCACAGGACACAGCTCCTGAACTGTCTGAAACACCGTGTTTATATGAGGCTTTACTCCTGGTACATTCATGTGACATCATTTGTTGGTTATTGATTGATTTGGCACAATTCAAACAAAAATGAGCAGTTGCTTCTCATTGACCTCATTTGCTTTTTTTCATAGTAGATGTGACCGTTTGTCTTTTTGCATGGGAGGGATCAKAAGAGACAAAAGGTAAACTGAGGTGTTTCTAACAGAAAATGACGAGAGAGGGTGCAGCAACATGTTTATTGTTTTAAATATATAATGTGTGTGGTGGGGGAGGGGGATTTCAATGTTGAAAATAGACAAATGCCTGGTTTCAACATTATGATAGTCTAAATTTGGACAATTAAGGAGTTAGAATTTTTTTTAAACCAGTGGCTCCTTCAAAAGTGGTGACGGAGTAGGTCATTCAGGCAAATTTGGGAAGAAAAACATGGAATGACAGGAAGGTAAACATTATCTTTGAACCAACATGTCTAAACAGCATAAAGATATTTTAAATAATGCATAAAWAATGTTGAATTAAGAAAAATCAGTAACCTTTAAATGAAAAGATACTGATGTGTGAGGCTATTATTGAAGCTTCAGTTATTTAAAGTTGTTAAAAATTGTTAGAATTCTGAAACTTGTTATGTGTGAGAGAATACCCCTTTATTTTCACAGGGTTATAGGGAATTACTTGATCAAAAAACATTACCAGATATTTGAAAAAATGTGTTGCTTGTCACCTTGAGCAGGTAAACGACAAAAGAAAAAAATAATTAAAACTAGAAAAAAAAAGTGGGGTCGTGGTCAGACATGTACTTTGAGGAAAAAAGAGGCTTCTGTACAAATAAAACTAGGTTGTTAGTGGTCTGACCAACTAAGAACAGATCCTTTGTAGGTTTAGCTGGTCTCAGTTGACCGTCTCTCTTCAATTAATCCCAGACTGACTGAGTGATATTGAGATGAGGGCTCTTAGGAGGCCACACCATCTGTTGCAGGAGTCCTTGTTTTTTTTTTTTTTTTTTTTTTTTTTTTCTTCAGATGGCTGCTGTTGGTTCATTTCAACATGGGCTGTGTTTTACCGTGTTATGGTGCAAAAGCCTCACTAATGGGTGCCGCATCATTAAACATCTTAACACTTGCAACTTCAGTCCTGTTAATTTCAAACTTTCATGAATGCAAAGCAAAGGCAAAAACAAGACAAATATGGAGGTCTGAGGAAGATCAGAACCAATAGAAGTGATAAAGATGAGGAGAGAGAGCAATGCAAAAGGATGAAGCAGACAAAAACAAAAAGCAGTAAGATGTTTAAAAAGGTTAAACAGCGTGAATACATGTTTTTTAAAATGTTTTTGTCTTTTTAACCTGAGAGTTTAAATAAATGCATTGGACTAAAATCCAAGACACACACTTATAAAGAATCATTGTCTTGAGAACTTAAATTACAACAAATCAAAGTTTTTACTGGTTACATATTGAAAAAAAGCAAATACCGTGATTATTAAAAACTGCTCAAATACATTTTGTAAGGCTTTATAATTCAAAATTACTTTTGACCTAAAGTGTTAATATTTACACATGAACTATTGCTCTTACTTCACTTTTTACATTATTTCGTATATTTTCACACATTTTAGTTTCCTCTGCATTGCAAAACCCTCTGCTTTACTACATTCAGCAACTGAATGAAAACAAAAATCCCACAAAGACAGAAAAATAACCTTTGAGGTTGGCACACACAGTAAGTCAGGAAGCAGATTTAGATTGAGGGCATGCATGAAAACTTTATATTGTTGCTTGACACTTTTTTTTGTAAGAAAAATCTGTGCAACGTTTCCTCAAGTGATACGGAGTGGGCACATTGGCAGATCAGATTTTTAAAAATAAGACAAAGCAGAATGAAAGATTTCCTCTTGGGAGGAGAAACCTTGGCTCATAACTCCATCCCATTGTCTCCAAGGCCTTTATTTTCCTCTACTTCAACAGAGGGATAATCTGCTTCAAATGACACCATATTGTTGATAGCAGAGAGGCTTATTGTCCTCCTTTCATGTCCCTGATAAAAGACACAGAGAGCTACTGTTCCAGGCACCAGGATTGAGAGGTGAGTACCATTACACTTCCTCATCTCCATAAAGCCCTCCATTCATCCATTTACCTCTCAGGGCTCCAGGCTGCTGCACCAAGCGAGAGGAAGAAGCAGTCGAGTGCAGAAATCTGCATCGCTTTGCTCCGCTTCAGTATGGCGCCCAGACAGGCTGATGTGCTGACTAGTGACAGTCAGCAGATTCGCTTTGTTGTGCACTTTCATTTGGGCAACAAGGGGCTGTTTTCGCTAAGTGCAACTCACTGGGATGAAAGAATTAGAGCTGGCAAATGCAGGCAACGTTAGTTTTCCTCCATCACTTTGAAATCCCGGCAATAACCATCTGTCTAACTCGCTGCAGAGATTCGAGCCAGCAGAACCGTGGACAGRTTATTCATTTCTGCTCCGAAAGTAAACAAACCTCTCTATGAATTGTGTTTTTGCAGGACTGACCTATCATCAAAAKACTTATAATAACTGAACAATAATACAGCATAATGATTTGAGGGAAATAGTCAGCCATAATTGGGATAATTGTGATTGGGGATGTCTGACTTGGTGGAGTGTTTCGACAACATGCTGGTCAAGTTCACAAGACCTCTGAGAAAGTAAAAAATAAYATGCATGTCATGATAGTTTAGATYTTTTGAAGTAGAAGGGTTATGGACAGTTAATAACTTAGCTGTTGCAGCTAGGTTATTTTATTACCCCAGTATGAAAAAGAAAAAAAAACTGTTTAGTTCTTACTGTTGATGAGGTAATGGCTAATCTGAGGGGAGCCAAGACCAAAGAGGATTCCTGCTGGTGGAGACATTTCAGGCTTTAAAATTCTTCTTTTTCATATTTAAATCATTCAGTGTAACTTAAATGCTTGGTCTGAATCCCTCCTTATTGTAACTCCACAAGCCCTTCCGGATTGGTCCATTCTAGCTTGATAGAGGGGTTTATGACTATATAGCAGCACAGATTCTTTTAAAGATGTCAGCAAGGGATGACTTGTTCATCCATCCTTACATGTTGGAGCCAGAGTCTGACCCAGAGCCAGAGGAGAATGAAGACAACACAACATTTCTAGTTGGTAAGACCTTATTTTGCAGTTCTGTTGCAAATTCTATGTCGTAATAGTTTAGGAAATGTCATAGAAAATAGAGAAAACTGAAAAGGTTGAAAAATTTTACCCAGACAGAATCCATGAAGCACTTGGAGAAACTAAATTAAAATTTTCAGCACTCCTAGAGACACAACAAAATGCATTTAATGGCTAAAAAATTGGATTTTGCATGATATGTCCCCTTTAAAGCAACTTCATTCTAAAAAACTTTCAAAGTGGTTCCTGTGAAAGCGATTTTTTAAGTCAATACATGTGCACTCATCTGTGTTGTTTATTTGGACAAGTGTCTGCTTAATTAAGGAGCCCTCTTTTTTCAAAGCTGATTAGTCTTTAAAGTCTTTAACAGGAATACGTTCTGTCCAGCGGAGAGGCAGGCTGCAGCCTGGCTCGTTGACTGCTGTTTCACTTGTTGCTGGTCCCACACAACAACTCTCCACTCACTCCCTGCTTGTCAGACTAGCAGTTAGCCTGTCAGTCAGGTGTTTTTTCTAAACTAGAGCCACTCAAAAAGCTATCAACAACAGGTGACATTGATTGTTAATAACCTTTCCACAGAACCCCACTTCAGTAGATCTGAATTATCCCTTTAAGGAGGGATGGACTGTTTTTTTTTTTTAACGTAAAGCCTGGATGGAAAACCGAAAAACCGCCCAGTGCCTCAGTTGTGCATCACAGTCAGGTGGTTCAGCAGTCGCACGAAAGGCTGGCGTCTGAAACCTGACAGTCCTTCAATTCACACATCAACTGACCTGGCTGTGTCCACCTCTACCCAATCTCACCCCAACCCCCCCACACACACACACACACTCCCACCCCAAAACCATACACACACAGAAATGTGTGTGTACAAAACAGCCCTCGAGCAACATAATGGATGGCAAAAGCTTTTGTGAGCTCTGAAGTGAAAGGTTTACTGACCCTCACTTGGCCATCGTCATTAAAGCCCCTCGCAGTGCGAAAACAGCTACAGGTCAGCAGAGTAGAGCTAACCACTCTCCCACATGTGTGATCTATACTGCTAAACGCACGCACGCATGCGCACTCACATTTGTTTATCAAGAAACAACGATCAGGCATGCACACACACACCGTCACAGTCTATTCTCACTCTATAAAGGTCACATTCACAGGTGCAAGCATTGCCTAATTGCACTTTTCATACTATCTCGAGCTTCTGAATAAAAACTGCAAAGGCACAGCTGAAGACGAAAAAAAACAGCAATGAAAGCTTAGTGTATTATGTTCCTCCTCAAATATATTTGCTGGAATCATTGACATTCAAATTACACATTATATTTTCCAGCTGATATACTTTAAACAAGATAATCATCAGCAGAGGGAAGTGGGGTAGAAATTTCATTGAGCAAACAGTGATTGTTTTATTCATAATCCAGGGGACGGGAACATGGAGAATATGAGATGAGATGATTCAGGGTCAGGAAAACTTAAAGTCATCTGAGACACAAAGCGAAACGCTGTCCTGTAATCAATGAGACCAACTAAGAGAGCAGGTTTGAAAGTGGACCAGGAAAACATGTTGGTATTATTTTTATCATTTTCCCATATTTCCATAATTTGACAACAACCTTTTTTCTGGAGACGATGCGTTTCACACCATTCATGTGTAAATGAATGATAACACATTTTGCGAAAATCTGTCTCTGCG